AATAAACCGGTTAAAGTAGGGGGCTAGGACTGGTGTAGGTCGGAGTTGGAGGGTAACCGCACACATGTTGAAATCTCCTTTGCGCTAGGATTTAACCAGTCGCGAATCACGAGTGTTCAAATCCGGTCGTCTCTGTGCTCTTCGTCCAATTTTCGATAATGCATCACGATCCTGATTGTGCAACATCAGCCTCATGGTTTAATATACGTTATTGACTTTGGGTGTCGCAAAATGCAAAATGACCCTTTTCCTATTTTAACTTCATTTATTGGGGTATTTTGTCGCTTGCATTTTATATATATATATATATATATATATATTAAAACATTGTTTGGTTTATTGGTATCTTTCATTTGAGACACACGATTTGCCTCGACCTACAATCTTTACTGCACACCCATTGATTTCATATTATTCTTTTATTATTTTTTTATTTTTTGCAATACTATTTGATACACAACGTTTTTGGTTTTCCCCTTAGCAGCAAAGACCATCAGATTCTTTTTAGCTCACACTCTTCAGCACGCTGCATAGAGCTGGCCACGAAGAAAGCCAGGACTCTCCAGATTAATTCCTGCAACCATAAGCAACTGCCCTTGAGCTTAAATGATAGACATAGCTATGGCAAGACGCACAAAAAACTTCAGTCACTTAAATTCGAAGGGCATGTTAGTAGAAAACTATCAAAAGAATATTACTTACTAACTACTGTAGTAACTTTTTTTTTAATTTCATTGCAGTTAGCCCAGATATTGTCTCCCCACTCCAATTGCCGAAGTGAAAAATACGTCATGAGTAAAAAAATATTTTAAAATATATTATTTTAACATATATTTACTAATATCCTATGTATTATTATTATTTGCAAGCTATCGATCCACGCTACGTGCAATTTTGCGACTTGCTGTGATGTACTTCCACGTTAGGTAGGCCTTCAGTACTTGCTGTCATGGATTGTCTGCATATAAAAGTCATAATTTCTTTCAGAGATATATTAATCAGAATCAATGTTAAATGCAGGATTAAGACTCAGTGTACAATTAAAAATACCTACTATAAGCTATCTAATGATTAGTTTGAAATATTGGGTAGTGTCCTGTATTGGTTCTTGACTTGTCCTTAGCTATGAGTAGATTTCTCTGAATCGTCTGGGCAAATTCCTGCATGCAATGTTGAATTGCTGGTGTAAGGACAAGGAATGTGGGCAGTGGGGTATAAGGTATAATGAGGTATCCAGGTATCTCACAATTAGGACTACCATTTTCAACCGCAATGCACCTACTGTACTTCACCTCAACAAGGATCCTTATGGGTATTTATGAATCTATTATTTTCTTCTGAAGATGCTGACTTCTCATCTCTTCAAGATGTATTCCATAGTCATTATTATCATCATAGCCTGGAAATCATATGTTGCCTGGGAACCTTCTTTGGTCAAATGAGAGCAGCATGGAAGCTGAACACAACTCCCACTCTCGATTAGACCTCGGCCTTGAATCGTGACCACGAGCAGTGTCACCTACCTGGGGCATGCCTCTACGCATGGAGTTATAGCTTTCAGTCCGAGGTCTGTCTGAGTGGTTTTCATCACAATGTTGCTGCTATTCAGGGAATTAAGGAAATATGGTATATTTTCAGTTCACAAATGGCAATAAGTTTGCTGAAACTGAGGAGATTCATTCATTCCAGTGCTGAATAGAATTGCAAAAGTCAAGTCTTGTTTGCTGTGTCCTAATCACCCAAAAATGGAGACTTCATGGAAATGGCCATAAATATGAAATATTCTTTCATGCCATTTCTTAATGAAATAAGGAGAAATATGTGCCTGGTGTATATTTACAGGATTAGTATATTGTTTCTTTTATTATCTGAACCAAGGAGCAGGAGGGGCGGCAGTGAAGGAAACTGAGGCAGTGCGGCTCATCCCTCGACCTCTGAATGAAAGGAGGATCTTGGAAGTCATGTGTTGGAGCTCGGGCTGCCCAGGCTCTGTAATTTTTTTTTTCTTTTCCTTTTTAATTCTTTCTTCAATCTTACTGGGATGGCATCTCATGCAATTGAGTTGTCCAGTGTGCATGAGCTTGATGCATCTGTCAGGATGAGAGTTCCATCAGCATTTCTTGGAAAGCTATGTTTTAAAACATTTAAAGCTTTTAATTTTTTATGTATTCAATTTATTTAGGAAAATTAGGAATCATGAATATATTTCAATGCTTTACAGTGTTTTTACTTCAGTTAGACAATTTTTCACTTGACTTACACACCAGACACCGGGGTGGGGTATTCAGAGAGGATGCAAAGGCGCTGGTGCCCCTGGTGACTAGCTACATCTTTCTCTTCTTTGAATATTTAGGCTTTTTTGTATTAATGAAACTGTGTACTGGAAATGAAGAACCGTGAACATTGCCATGTTGTCAACAAGAGACCTTCATTGCAGTCTATTTACATTAAAAAAGCTCTAAGGTTTCAATTTCCCGTCAGCTCAACGGTGTACAGGGTGTTAAGAAAGTTGTGTCCCATCACAATATGCCTATAACCTCAGCAAAAATGTGAAAATCAGGAAATTTTTTCATACGCAACAAAAAGGACAGCTAATTGATTTAGAATCACTTAATAGTTTTAAATATAGCCACCCTTGATGCAAATGACAAGGTTCAGATGACCCATGAAAGTATAGACTGATTTTCGCAAGTCTTCCTGTGGAATTCTCTCCCCATTCTCTGTTCAGGGATCGCTTGAGAGAATCCAAAGAATGGCGTTTTGTAGCTTATTTTTTGCTCTCCAAGATGGACCAAATTGAAAAATCGAAATCAGATTTTTTTCAAGCCACTCAGCATCAAGGGGTAGCTTCTGTAATGGTCTGGGCCAGGATTACCGCACTCCGCTTGTTTTCGAGCCTGAGAAGATGGTCAGTGCTGATGTTTACCGGAAAAGCATCCTGGAAGACTGCCTGGTTCTGTGAGCCTCAAAATATTTCGATGGTGGACTCCAGCAGGACTCAGGGCCAGCTCAAAAGGCACGAATGACCCAGGAGTGACTGTTAACGAATGTCTCTGACTTCATTTCGATTTCACAATGGCCCCCTTACTACCCCAATGTGAACACCCTAAATTTTCCAATTTGGTCCATCTTGGAGAGCAAAGTGTGTGCTACAAAGCAAACTTCTTTGGATTCTCTCAAGCTATCCCTGAACCAAGAATCGGAGCGAATTACACAGGAAGTCTGGCGAAAATCAGTGAATGCTTTCATAGGTGGTCTGAACCTTGTCATCCGTGCCAAGGGCGGCTATATTTTGAAGCTATTAAGTGATTCTAAATCAGTTAACTGTCCTTGTTAGTGTGTATTTAAAATATTTCCTGATTTTTAAATTTTTGCTGAGGTTATTGGCATATTACAGTGGGACACAACTTTCTTAACATCCTGTAGAAACACCGGATTGGACTTCGATGGACTATCTATCTATGGACTATCTGCGTTAGGTCTAAACTAGCCTATGTGGGTTTGGTGTAGGGAATGATACTTGAGAACTCAGGAAGGATGCCTGAAACTTCACCTGTTTTATTGAAATATCATTAAGGAAAACACACGAAAAGCCTTGTTTTTCACTACGATATTAAATTATCATTTCTGTCTATTGGGTATTTGGGAGGGTTCGTATTGATTTTCCTATCTTCAGCAGGAAGTTAATCATCATCGTTGACGCCAATGTTGTCAGGACATCTGCACTTAAGAATGGGACTCCTAGTTTCTGCATCAATCCGCTACACTACCCTCACCATGCACCATTGTCAAAGTCACGTGAAAAAATGTCAAACTTATGTGAACAACACTGTATAAATAAATAGACTTGCTTAAAGAAGCAAGGATGCATGTGCATTTCTCCTCCCTCCTTCTGCATTTCTTCATCAATGATCCCTGATGACAAGTTCAATTTAAAACGTTTTTTCCCTCATGCCCATTAGAAATCAGTGGAGGAGTCCCCTGGCTCAGTTAATGCAGTCCTTGCTTAGCTTCTGGAGAATAAGGATTTTGGACCAGCAGGAGGGTTTGTATGAGCCCTCTCTCTCCCCCATCATTGTCAATCATGCCCTTAATATTCAGATCGTCTTATTTGCCTGTCTCTCTCAAGATCTTTTTGTTCCTTTCTGGCCTGCTTCTGCCTGTTACATGTTGAGGTGCAGCCATATTTTTTCAAATGCTAAATACCATGAAGTATTGGTTTGCACATTAATTAGCATTAGCGATGGAAACTATGAAGCTAATTGGTTATTATTCCCTTACGATCCCCCTACCTCCTCCAAGCAATGGTGACTCCATTAGGCCTATCAACAGGTGGGACTGCCATGTTGTCCATTTTTCATTGCAGTCTTAAATGTGACTTTTAGCATGAGTCCCTTCTAAAAGTTTTACTGCTTCGAAACAATGCACGAGCATGAATTCTTTGCAATTTCACATGCCTCTCATGAAAGATGAGGGGTTGAGGCCAACCAGATTGACACATATACAAGCAAGTTTAAATTTTGGAAAGTCCTCTCATGATAAATAGAACAGTGAAAGAAACCAAGCCAAATGAATCAGGATGATCAAGAAGTCACTGGGCAGTAAAATTACGTCAATTTTGTGGTTTATATTTAGTACTATTCTGCATGTCACATGTATTACATCATCGAAGACAGAAATTCATATGCAATACTTCATCAAATATTTGCACCATCCATGATGCACAGAATTTATTGTCTGTACATTCCATCCATAATGAGGCTTCCTGCATCATATCATGACCTCTACTGCACAGTGACTTCTTAATCACCCTGTAGCTTCATATTTGAGTTCCTTGATTTGTATATTTTCTATAACCCATGAAGGCACATTTAGTATATATGCTTTGTATGATTTAGTATTTTGTTGCTTTCAATCAGTATACTGTTTATGATGTGACCTGTTTTCCTCCTCGAAGGTATTCCTAATCTGTGTGATTGATCATTTGTGTTTCCATCCAGGGCTTAGCAAAGATGGGGAGGAGAAACTGGAGTCGCTACTTTGCCTGTCCTTGGATCTCCTGGGTCACGGAGAGAGTCTGCTGGAGGAGGTCCATGACACCCCTGGCTGGAGGCACCAAGACCAATGTGGGGCTGACCATCTCAGCCAGTCACCGCTTCATGAAGGTCTGCTCCATCGTGGGCCTGTCAGGTGTCCTCCACTTGTCCCACTCTACTGCTGCCTGGACTTTCTCGTGGTTGGGGTTCAATGAATCACCACTGTATTTGTCTATCAGCTTCTATTCTATCTTACGTAGTTATACTGATAATTTTACATTTTGGTTCATTTGTACTTTTCAAATTTTGAATCTTTTCTTGTGTGAGTTATGTCACATGTAACTGTGAATTTCAAATTCTGTCATGGTTTGAATTTTCAAGCCCTGTATGAGTAGTTACTGGTAATGTTTTGATGTTTTTTACTTTTAGCTTGTTCAGTTGTATGCAAATCATAGCTGGTAAACAAGGTCAAGAAATATAATGCATTGAGGTATAAAAGAATAGTTGCATTTTTATATTATATATTTTGTAATTATCTGTTGGTGAATAATCATTATCCTGTTGCTTGTAAACAAGTTCCACCAATTTATTAAAAGTCATTAAATCAGTTCAGACAGAGTTGGAATTCACTGTTAGTGATCATTTCTTACACCATAAAATCCACATGAAGTTCATTGAACTTCATGTTTGGAAAACATTTTGTATTAGATTATATTCCTATTTATCAGAGCAAAATTTACTCCACCCAACCATAACCAGCATATGTGAATGACCTCTCTAGTAACTTAAAGAATAATTGGATCCTCAGGAACAACTATTTGTTCATGTGGGCAGTTTTATGGAGATATCTTAAATCAAACCAGATTCTGGAGGAGAACCAGCAGAGTGCAGTCCTCCAGTAGCATGGACTTGAGAAGGTTAAGGGTCGCATGTGGAATTATCAGCCTCATTCTGCAATGAGCAATTTTTGAGTCAATGGAATAGCAATTGAAATGTGACTGAACATATTTAAATTTTACTCGAAAGATTGACTTTGTTAGATGTCTGAGTGGTATTTAATTGGAGGGTTCAATTTGTTCAAAATTTTTCCAAAGTTCATGTAATGTGCATGTTTGGATTCAATAATATTTTGTGGTCACTTTCTATGCATGATTTGTCGTAAAATAAGCAATGAAACAGTTTGGTCTCTTTGGTCTCTGATATTGATTTAATGTGCTTAATGGCAACAATTTTGGGGGTTTGGCAACCGAAGCCAAGTTTTTTTTTTCTGGAAAGGCATTGAGATTTTGACTTTGAGAGTTGATTAGAAATTTTCCCATCACTGTTCCCAGCACAGACATGCCCCTCATGAGAAACAGGTGATATGGAATTGAACTGAATGTTTCTTGCAGCATAGTGGGCTGAGGACATCATTGCTGGCATATGTGAAACAGGAAAGTCACAGGGACCAAAACAAGTATCAGGTGCTGCCCTTACATTCCTCCTCTACTGGGAAATTTTTCAGAGTTGCAAGGGCAAGGGGATCAGGATGATCTCCCAGTTGATGAGCCACTAGAGCCTGCCAATGCTCTGTCTAGGTCTGGTGGATTTTTTTCCCTTTTTCTTTTCCCTCCAGCTTGGATCAGTGGTTGAGCATTCATTTTAATTTCAGTATCAGGGTTTGGAAAGGGACATCAAGTGGTGATTCTGCACCTAAAGGATATCCCAAATCAAGGTTAAGCATACCAGTATCAATAACATACGGGAGACCTACCCCTCTTAAAGTTAGTTTCTTTTCATTTTATTTTATTTTATTTTTGTAGCATATTCTAGTCTCTTATTGCCAAGTCCTCCTAATGCATAGTCCCTTAACATTTACATTACTCCCTTTTTATTGTTTATGAAGTCATCTAGCCTCCTTTTAAAGCTAGTCATGGATGGGGCTGCCACTACATCATCACTTAATGCATTCCATGCATTCACCACCCTGCAAGTAAAAAATACTTGTCACAACTTCAGCTGTGCTTGGGGTTTATGCAACTTCAGTTGATTTCCTCTTGTTCTCATGCTGTCATCCATCTAGAGGGAAATATCCCAGTCTACATTGTCAATTCCTTTAATGATCATTAAAGCCTGGATGAGATTCCCTCCTTGTCTTCTCTCGAGCAAGTAAATCCCTAGCACTTCCAAATGCTTTTCAAATGGAAGTCCCATAGCCTCCTTGATCATTCACTAGGCCCTCCTGTGGACACCCTTGAGTGCCACCAATTCTCTCTTATTCAAAGGCCGCCAAAATTAAATTTAAAAAACTCCAAAAGGGGTCTTACTAGTGCTGCATCCGATGGGAGAGTAGTGTATGAGCTCTTACTGGCTGGAACAATGGATGAAGCCTGTAGTCCTATTGCATTTCACACATGTCACTCATGCATATGAAAAAAACTTGAGTTCTTCATCAATAGTAATCCCAAGGTCCCTCTCCACTTGCTTTACCTAGTTAATCGACTCCAAACTCATTCATAGAACTATTGTTATTATGACCAGCTTGAATAACCTGACGCCTACTTTTATTAAACCTCATGAGTTGTTTCTTGCTGCACTTGTCCAAGAGTCTCAAATCTTACTTGGCTCTCATCCTATCCACTTCCCCCAGATAGAAAAGCCTATTATGGTATTGTCAGCAAATGTGATGATCTTTCCCTCTAGGCCTTGATCAAAGTTATTGATGAAGACCAGAAAAAGATGTGGTCCTAAAATGAAGCCCTGAGGGACACAGCTTGTGACCTTGACTCCATTTACCATTACTTGCTGCTTTATTCATGAATATTTGTCATATACAATGCATAATATATATATTATGCATATAAATGTTGAGTATATTGCAATGGTGTATTGCAATCATTCTTAAATCTCTTAATCTCTGAAAATTCTCTTAAATTAGGTAATTATGGCAGAATAGAAAGTTTAGCTGAATTCAGGTGCGAAATGTATTTAAAAAAAAAAACAATTTAGTTCTATAGCTTGGGACCTTTTAATGATTAGGCCTTACCAATAGGCAGGTTTTCAGTGCCAAAGAGCATGCCTAAAACACATGCCAGCTCATTTAATATTGTCTACTGACATCATTGTCATTAAGAGTTAGATCAAAAGTAGTGGCATGAAAAAGTTGATCCAATTAGTCAAAAGTTTAAGAGTTATGAGTCAGAGGCTAACATATTATCTTTGGCATACTTTTCTGTATTTATTTTTAGAGTCTCCTGGTATCATCCAGGAAATAACTGCAGTGGGGTGAGCCCTTTCCCATTTCCATGAGCTGATGCAAACGTTTTCTTAAACAATTTTATTGCTCACCAAGGGTGTCACTACAGTGGCAATTTAGACGATTAGTGAATTTCAGCACATCTAACTTCAGTTGTGGCGACCTTGTTTGTCAAATGGCTCATCTGCTGCCAATTCGTTTCATAGTTTTTTTTTTACTATTGCTTATGACCTCTTGTACAAATTGGGTTGAAACCATGAGCATTTTATATTTGTTAGTTGAGACTTAATGGCACTCATGTCAGTGGATGTCATGGGACACTTTCATCCTCTGTTGTCCAGCCATGAGACGATTATTTTAATACTGGTGCTGGAGTACAAGCAATGAAATCCATGATTGCAAACAGACATATGGTTTCTACTGGGCTCATAGAGCTTGGTGTTGATGCCGAAGGCAAAGCTCAACTTCAATTAAAATAGATTCATTTTGTATTTAAATATAGAACCTGTACTTGGAAAAAGTGGAACCATATGAACAGATGTAAGCACTGCATACCGTATATTAACCCTTTTAGTGACAATTGATGGACTGTCAAAAGTGTTGAAATACTGGGTTATGTTTTTGTGCTATTGTGTGTGGAAGTCACATATTTTCATGTGGACTGGGAGGTGGCAACTCTACAGGAACACAGGATTTACAATTTTTGATATTGTTTATGAAGGTATGGTTCAGTTATTGGAACTTAGTGGAAGTTAGTGTGGAACTTACCTCACTCCAGAGGAAGCTTGAGTTACTTGAAAATGTATTTTCTTTACTATACCCATCAAACCATGAATTTGATTTGCTCCCACTGCCAGGCATTCTTATGAACATGTTCTCATTCTATTGCTACGACTAATGAGTAGTTCCCATTATGAATTTGGAGTGAACGTAGTGATGCGAACACATGATGTACTTAGTGGCCTTGTAGCTGAACCTACTCAACAATTTACCAGTTGACAGCATTGCTCCCTGCGTGTTGCGTTTTCGACAGGACAAGTTCTAGGGTGTTCTCATCACCCCACGTCTACCTGGGAACGGATTCCTCCCAGGGCTCAAATATTGTTAAATTTGATTTCAGGGTATAAGGAGGAGAATTACTTGTGTTCTTGGATATGTTTCCCACCTCCTATGATGCATTGGTGACTACTATATGAGGGAAACCTCTTGTATTTCTCAGCAGAACCAACCCCTATCCTTGCTTTTTCAAGTTAGTCTTTCGCTATCGCTGACCAGAATGATACAGGGTGTCACCAAAAAAATGTATACACACTTGAATCAAAAGTATATATTAAGCAAGTCAGAGAGGGACTATCTTTAATGTGACACGTACAGTGCCTAACAGATGACAATGTGTAATGGAATGATCGCGTGTCATCATGCAATTTTTTCCCAATAGAAAGTGTGTCACATCAGATTACACAAGCTCACTTAACCTTAGAGCGATGTCAGTTGATTTTGAAGTGATTCTGGAAATCTGAGAACACATGTGAAGTGCGAAGGTGGAGAAATGAATTTGCAACTATGCCACCATGATGAACTACTACTTTCAAGAATTCATGATTCATTGCAAGATGATGGTATAGTGCATGGTCTCCCAAAGCATTACTTGTACGGTAATGGACAATGTTCAGATAGGCCTCGCCAACATTCAACTGTCACCTGTGCCTGGATGCGAACGGTGAAAATTTTAAACATATGTGGCAGTTAATCATGCAATTAAAGCCTTTCTCCATACACTGAACATTGTACCTCTCTGAATTATTTAACATGTATATATTTTTTACATCAATACTGTTGGATTTATCGTTATACTGTATAACGATGAATCCAACGGTATTCATCGGATAGTGAAACGCATTGGCCGCCATTCTAGCTCTATTTCGGAAAATCTTGGTCTTGTGTTCACGACTGGCGAGCGTGTGCGAAATTAGTCGTTTC